GGGTGGATACGTGGGATGCTGGCAATCGCAGTGAAATGATGACTTGATTAACAATTAAGTCTCATAGGTCAACTAGTAGAGCTGTGGACTTTGTATTGGAGGCAGTGAGATTAGCATCTACCACGACTGACTTTCAATTCCTACCCACTACATCGATATCAGTTGACCAGCGCCTTATCAACACTTTGTCTGTTAGGCAATATGCACCTACGATCAAAGCTTGACTGACTGTCTTCACAAACAGAATGCGGCAATCTGTGAGTGTGGGACGAACCACTAAAATGTTTAATCCGAAATTGTTTTTTTAAATGAAGTTATCAAAATATGAAATGTAGTCATCATAATATGCATACACCTTATATTTTTGCACTAATAACATACCTTTCAACATTACAGACTGTAGTAATAGGCATATTAGTAGGAGAACACTGAAAATCCACAGGTGTTTCATTGTCCTACTTTGCGTAGTTTAGAAAACATTTTTCTACAGCGTGGTTTTATATACACGCAGGTTCTTGTAATATCGGATTGAAGTCAGGTGATTCATATAGATGTATTCATATATATATGCATGTGTGTATATGCGATATGTCTAGCATGATTTCATGCAAATTTCAAAAGTGTCTATTTCATATATGTTTTAGTAGTAATTTACGAAATTGTCAAGGCATATATACATATAAGAATACTTCTTCGGTATTCGCTTATATGATTTAAAATAGGAGGCGAATTACAACTGGAATAGTAAAATTTCTAGACTATTACGTTTTAACTAAGCCTTTTTTGCATTCAATACTTATGTGTAACACTGTAAATCGTGTGTGGAACATTCGCCTTGTGAATGAAACATTACACTATTTTTTTTTTTGTATAGATATTTATTCTCCTTTTTAAACCAGAGGTATAAAAGATACAACTTTGTAATTGCTTAATCTTGCTACTAATTGAAATATTCAGTAGGTGGTACAGTGTAGTTTTCAGGGTAAACTATTTCGATATACCCGCATCAGGATGTGCATTGAACGCTTCACACCTGATGAAACCAGATATCTGTCAATCTGTTTTAGAAGGTCGTTGCTTGGCTGTGTTGCGTTATTGTCATAGAATGACCTACACTGTTAACGTGGTAATGCAGTGATTACAGAGCTTATCACTGTTGCCTTATGTAGCCTCAATTCCAGCATCTGCCTTTCAATAGACGCGGACTAGGAATTTCAAATATGCTGAGCATACCTGAGTTGTTCAGCTGAGTGAGAAGGTTGCGTAACGCATAGCCTTTTTAAAATTACTGTTTGAGATATGTACTTGAAATCACATTCTACTAACTAGCGCTCATTTCAATGAACCACTTTTGATATTTAGAGCAAACTCTCTCTTGGCTGTTTTCAACAAAAGTTGCACTGCCGAGATATTTTCAACATCTACTTGACTGAATACAGTCTTACATGTCAGCTAATTCTATGCTAGATATGAGTAATATCTTATTAACATGTGATCATGAGAGATAATGAGTGGCTGAAAAGTCAACAGCTTATTTAAGAAACAGAAGTATTGACAAATTCATAAATTTGCTTTCATGTGACCTGATCTAGCAGTTTTTAGGGAACGTCAATCAAAGTAATGTGCAATCCAGATATTTATAGATTTCATTAGTGCATTTAAAAATTGTCGCTTTTGAGAATTAACGGAGTCACGTTTGCGTAATTCAAATTCTGAATCACTTATACCCACCTTATGGTCAAAACTGACTACCCATAGCAAGAAGTAATTCAACCGGTAAGAAGTTCACTATCCAAGCATGCTTTATTGAAAGTAAAGCCTTCAACTGTTGACTTTCAGTGATTTGATTGGTTTTAAGGTAGGTTGAGGAATGATATAACTTAGAGAACCTCTGAAAAGAAGGATGTTCTGAACACCTATTTTATCTTATTTTGACGCTCTTCATTGGAGGGTAATTTCGGATCCACCAAGGATCGCCTCTTAACGTGACGACATTTAGTGAAGTTTCCGGTGAAGTCGCTGATTCCTACAGCTCAATGGTCCTAAACTAGAATAATAAGGGCGATTCATGTCTCATGGGATGTCTCTAAAAATAACTAAATCAGCCTGAATGTACAAAATTGACGAAATATTGTGGAGGGACAGTAAGGGGTTTGTAGGAATATAATAAGCATTAATGTTAATGAAACTAAACCGTTGAAACGCTTAACAATAAAATGAAAACTAAATCATGTCCGGAATGTCACCATGGCCATGTTAAGGTAAGTATTGAACGCCTAAGTTGTAACTTCATTTGCTAAGATTGCCAACATTCATTGAATTGGAGACAGAACCGAAAGAATGAGATGACGAAATGACTTTTATAGTAGAAGAATCGATACGGTAATTAATTCTCAGTGATCTCCTGCCAACTAAATGGTGACGTGATGACATCGTGGAAACTGAATTTCTATGGTGGAATGAAAGCGTTTTGAACTGTCATTAATCAGCAGATCAGCGATTGTTCATTTTCAGTAATTCCTAACTAATGGCAGCCTAAGGTGAAATTCCGTATGCATTATAAGTAAGATTCTCACTAATTCAGTAAATTCAAAAAGAATTTAGTCTCATTTTTTGAAAACGATATTGTGAAGTTAGAGGCTTAACGAAAGAGAATTTGCTTCTCTTTTTGGAAGAAAATGCACTAACCTAACCTGAATATACCACCGACTCTGATCAGTCTACTTCAACGGCCGCCTCCTTCAACATATTCTACAAAGTGAAGAACAACAGTGTGTCACAGAAAATACATTTCGTCTTCACTGAATCATGCCAGCTTTAGCCATTCAGAAACAGGCAGAGAAAGGCCGGTTCTCTGAAGATAAAACGGAACTACTCAACTACCTCTAATTTCATGGTGATGTACCCCTTGTTTTCTGCTTATTGGATTTCTTGTTTTCGAACTTTGACTCGACCGATAGCCATTTTTGTTGATGATAGGCGTCTCTATTTTCTTGGAAGTAGCTTGCTAAAGTTATCCTGCCTGATACTGAACGTCCTCTTTATTATTCTTAACTTTTCTCTTGTATCTCTTCGGGTTAAACTAGAAGTCTTTTCATAAGAATTTAGGCTCAAACAGCTCTACTGAATACAAAATCTCTACCACACCGTATTCAGCACAGATTTTGTGTGAAGAGAAGCACTTATAAAATTTCTAAATCAATTACAAGACTGCATAGTATAAGCAAAGATTATTATTACACACATTGTCCATGATTTGATTTAATGATAATCAAATTCGTTCCATAAGCTTTTAAATTTTGTTGTTTGGATGGTATATATATATATATATATATATATATATATATTGGTTGGAGGATTTCATCATCAGCTGATATAATTTAGAGAACAAGTGGAAAAACTGAGAGTACTAGACAGATTTTTCGTCCGTCTAATTTCCAACTGTCTAGCTGCATGCACTAACATTGCGGGGTTCAAACCCAGGACCTTCTGTTTAAAAGGCCAAAGAGCTCGTATACCGTAAAAGCCACTAAAAGCGATCCAGTGGGATCGAATCCCGTTGGGTGGGTACTGTTGAAGAGTCCCAAACTAGGCTACCAAAACAGCTGTCCAGTACTCCTGGGTTTGGAAATGGTTCTCTAACTGATTTTAGCTCATGACAAAATCCCCTAATCATCAAACAGGATGCCTACCCAAAAAAGACCAATACTTGACAATACAAGAACTTTTTTCTAAGGATTGTAAGTATTTCTTACCTGTTTGACCACGGATTGATATTAGTTAGAGAAATACTGAATACCAGGGAATATTGGATAGTTGTCTTATCCTTGTTTGGGAATCATCAGCAGTACGCACCCGCTGGGTTACAAAAGGTCGTATATCTTTCAGCCACTAGGACCAAATGCAATGGTCAACGCATGAATTCTAACTTCTACCAATTCGTGATTAAGCGCCACCACCTACCTACCTTATCGGTGGGAAATCCATCCTCAAACTTGACTGTTTGGACCACAATGATTGCGACTTGTCGCTTAGAACTACAGGAGACCGACTATGATGCTGGTTGGTGGTCACACTAAGATCACAAATTGGTAGTCGTTGAACAGTCGAGTCTCAGTAGCTGAATGATATACGACATAGCATGCCTTGTATTCGGAAGGTCCTGGGCTCGAACCTATCATAGTGTGGGAGCGTACTGTCGAGGATTCTCAAAATAAGGGGAAACAGCTATTCAGTACTTCAAGCTGATTACCAATGGTTCTCTAACTGATATCAATCCGTGGTCAAACCACATATATATTTTGAAGAAGGACCTAAAATTTTGCAGTATGCATGAAAACGCTCAAAATTCCATTTTATATGATTATTGTTGTTATCATAGACCTCTTGTATGTTGAAGATACAACTGTATCACGTTTCATGAACATCCTGGATGAAGCATACAAAGGCATCTTCATGAAAATAGGGCCACACGAAGTAAAAGTTTTTGTCTCTTAAATAGAAAGGCTTTTGTTAAAATCTCTCAGTAATGCTAAAATATGACAGAATAGTCGTATATACATAGTCACCTTATCTTTTTTTGTGCGACACTGCCATCTTTTTGCAGGAGATCGGTTCACTTCTGCTGAACTGTTAACATGAGAATGGAATGTGGCCAGTATGAAACAATATAGATCTTTTTAAAATGAAATAACTTTATTTAAACACAACACATAACACATAATGAATGATACAGCATTTATTTGAATGAAATGATACTATATATATATATATATATATATATATATATATATATATATATATATATAATAAAAATGTATTTGTCTTATATAAAAATTGTATCCTGGATGAAAAAGTTCAACAACAACAATAACAGCAAAGATAAACCATTTTCAATCATCACCTAAGTCAGATTTAATTTCAGTGTCTAAGAAACACTGTCCTTCACTGAACTTTATATCTGTCTTAATGTGTAGAACATTTTATATATGGTGTAGTGCTCACATATTTGATGATGTTGCGAGGAATTTCCCACCGAATAAATCCCTAAAAATTCACGAATGTTATTAATAAACAAAAAAAGTAAATTTAGAAAAGAAAAATATAATAAAATCTAAAAGTTGGAGGGCAACAAAAATGGAACCAAAAAAAGTGTAAGTATATACCGAGAGTAATGAGCTTTAATCACATAGGTAAAATTTCAAGGATGATAGTTATCATCTTGACTTTTTTAAGCAACATGGATCTCACTATTCAGTGAAGCTTCCAACTTTCAAAGTATAACGCAAATGATGTACTACATTGCAGGTTTCTTGTCATCATTGCACACATATTTTCCCCTTTATGTGTATCATTGAACTCTGCCTATTTCTTTATAAACCATGAACTCATTTAGAGTCAAAATATAATTAGACTCTGATTTCTTTGTCTGTGCTCAACTGAGAAAAAAGAGATGACTGCCTTGAATATTCACCAAAAGTGTCGTTATGTGAGCGTTCCTTGAATCGAAATTGCCTCATTATGAGCGAAACAGCCGTGGAAAATTCATATCACCGCTATTTACCTTGCAAGAATTTTGGATGGAGTAAATGACTTTTTGCAACGTAAGAAGTTTGATGTCTCCATAGTTAATTCAGGACAAAAGTAGTTCAAGTGAGTAATTGTCTTAAAATCAATTCTTTTTCAGGCTTTATAATTATTAATCTATCAAGTTTTGCCATGCGTCAGTCACTGAAGGCAAAAGGTATGAGTTAGGATGGTTGGTTTTTTACAACCGTTTAGAATATGCGTGGTCAATAAGAATATGCGTTGATAAAATGAGATGAAATAATTCCACGATGTATAAGTTTATATATATATTGTCAACAAAGGTGCAGGTTTCGAGGGCGATTGTAATCAGTGCTGTATGAGACAGTGTGAATACCACATAAATAAGATAGACCAGACGTAAAGGTGACGGCTTATCTATGCTAAGAATTAATAGATTTATCACTTGAGAGCCTTAAAAAGGATCTATTGAAACCCTAATTATCCTGTCTAACTAAAGGAAGCTTAATTAATTCACGTAGAGTGTAAATGGCAGCCATAATTCTCATGCTCAACATTTGTTAATTATCAGAATTATGTGAAGTCATTGTGTATGTGTAACTTTCCTACATTCGTGTGAATATGTTATTATATCTGCGATTTTTGAAGCTAAATTAACACTGTACATAAAGTGTAAATGGGGTTCCAAATTCTCATAATTGATGGATTTTAATCCGTGTAGAGCCAGTCAAATAGGCCATGCAATTAGGCGTGTTTATCATTGGATTTCCTAACATCATCTTTAGTGGTTAGTTAAGTAAAGCACAAATGAAATCCATTCGTAGGTCTATACCATCTCATCTTGTGGATACAGAACACAAGATTGATGTCAACGAGACGGCTTTCAAAGTCACTTACCACATAACAAGAAATTTAAACTTCGCCTTAAGAGTTCGTTTACTAAATATTGCTGAGACTGGGTGTTAGAATCCACCCACATTAAGAAGCCTAACTTATATGTCCAAAAGAATCTAGTTCAGACATCATCCTAACCTTGGCCATTTAGGTTAGGATGATCCTCAGTTTTTTGTGGAATTTTTCATAATTTTATTTGATATTCTATTTGCTATTATATCTTTATTATTATTTTAATTAGAGCATCTTTAGTGAACTGTGATTCATTTGTGATCTTACTTAAAAAACTCAATTTAATGTGGTTGTGTTCTCTGAGCTGGATGGTTACTTTGCGAAGCTTTCATCACCTTATTGGGTGACATCTTCAGCGCATGCTTCAATTTGAAGCAATTTGAAGGACACAACCACATCAGAATCATATATATATATATATAATTATAGAGCGAGAAGAGGAAATTATCGGAAAAGATATTTACTGCCCAAATATTTTCGTTTCGAAAATCTGTTGTACAGCATTTTATGTTAAAAAAACAACAACAGGGTTTCACTTACCATAATTTTTGTAGAGTACTAGAAATTAGAATTGTCATTATGTAATCAGTTGTGAATAGCATTCACAATAATCACAATAATACCTGACTTTTACAAATTCAATCAACAATATAAGGGTTAAAATCAATTATCCTGTGATATGAGTATTTCATAATATATTGTCAGTAAAATCGGAAGTGGCTGAGGTTTTTCAGTCATTCAAAAAAGACTTCGGGAATAAGAAAGTATCAGACATCAAGGTGACGGAATGCTGACAGTGGGAGAAAAGAATTCAAAATAACTTACCATGTAACTTGGAAAAATTTGCTAACATGAAAAGTAAAGTAACACAGAATAAATTATATAGTATTCTGGTAAAATAGTGTATGTATATATGGATTTTTTTAAACGTTTACAAATGGTTCATTATGTAGAAGACAGAGCTGAAGCTGTTGGAGGATGATACAAGGCACCATGGAAAAGAATAGTATTTCAGGAATAACTGATTACCCTTTATCATTGTATAGACTTCTTTGTTAGCATGGATGGAAAGTGACTAGCACGAGGAATCGATGAAGCACCTCACGTCCTATTTTTAGACCTGTCATCTAAATCCACCTTCATACACTAGAGAGTATGTAAGTGGTGGAATCCTTAGTGAACCTTGAATCCAGGACCCATCGTTTCAAACGCTATCGGATTACCTGCTAGACGACTTGTGCCGTGAGAGTCACCTCGTTAAAGCATCCACACAAAGAAGTCAACATGTCAACAGGAGCCGAACATTCCAGTCCAATCTATGAAAAGAAAGTTCTTATGGCTATTCCTTTTCTATTTTATATATTTGATAGTTTATATTTGAAAAAAAACACTCTTATGAGCGAAATTCCAACTTCTCAGTCTTTATATATTTTGATCACTTTCAAATTGTTGATGCCTGAGTTGTAGAATACTGGTCAGCTGTGGAAGAGGTTGGCCATGCGAATAGTAAACGCACCCTATGAAAGGCAGTATAACTGCTGCTGAAAATTGAAAGGTTAGGTTCGATTATTTGATTTGTTACTTTTCATGACAGACAAAATTTGATTTACCGGAAAAATTGATTTCTTTATAACTTACCTCAATGTACCCATCCATTTTCTAAATAACAGTTATAATATTACCATTTACTCTATATGAAAAATGTTGAATTAATAATATGATGGTCGTTAGTATAAAATCTGAAGCAATACTGTTGCGCTCAAAGTAGGCTCCACAATGCTCATCCTTCATCTTCTTCAAAAAACCTCTCAAATGCCTGTAGAAACCTACTTGAAATTGTGCGCCAGTTTAGATTGCGACTGATAAGGTCGAATTTAGAAGATAAAAACAAATCGAAATGAAATAAAACCGGTGAACTCTGATGCGGAAAGATTAAGTAAGCAGGCTAAGTGATTCAACCAAACTGGCATAATTTACTAGCTCATTAGTTTTCTAGCCAGTCAGCAGTTATATGACAATGTCACGTGTCAGGTGATCCACAACGGAAATCTCAGTGAAGCGTTTGAAGTGAGTAAAGAAGTAAGACGAGGCTGTCTGGCTACTATAACTGATGGACTGGATTGTGTGGAAGACTGTGCACAGGGGCTGAAACGACAGGAATACACAGGAATAGCATGATTTATGACTAATGTCGAAAAAACTCCAAGGTTTGCGGATAAAAAGCTACAAACTGAGAGAAGAGGCTAGCAGTGGCGACAGGACTCCAGGTGATCATAAAGAATACGGAGATAATGAAGACAGTCGGTGGATAACAACCAACATCAATCACCATCAACGATAGAGGTTTGATAGAGCTCGGAAGAATTATTTCACCACTGACGAAACAGATGAAGACGTCCAGACCAGCAAGAATCGGAGAGGCAAGATACGCCTTTATCAACGTGAAACCGATTTGAAAATTTTCTGCACTCAGTATAAAAAACAAGTGTAGTTCAGAAACCTGAAGAACCACAAAGCGTTTTTCCAACTGGCTACTGCAACTTTTATTAACCGCTGCCTCCGCCCTACATCGAATATCAAATTTCCGGTCAGAAAGAAAAAGACACAAGAAACCGTGGAAACAAGTCAAGCAAAAAATTTATTACCCAACAAATATGTAGGAAAAAATGGAGATGGATGGAGCACATGCTGAGAAGACTATCAAATGAAATAGTGTGACAGGCCATTGCTCGAATGAAACCTGAATAAGGAACAACGAGTGAGTCATACAAGGGTAACTTGAAAAAGATTATGGGGGAGAAGTTGACAGCCTATAGGTAATCTCGGGCCCAGCCAAGGACGACAGCAATAAACAGAACAAAATGAAGATATGTTGCTGTTGAAGCCCTCCCTATGCTGCATTTCGAACCCAAGGGGAGAATTATAATAATTAGCGATTCAAACAGGCTTTCGATATACTATACATCATGATCATGCGTATAATACTTTATTCAGCAAGAATCTCCGATTCCCGGTAGAAGATATGTACGGCAGCAACTCTAAGAGTGATATTCTCTAGCTGCCCACTACTTTGAAGCAACAAGAAGGATAGGCTTCCGTATATATCAGTTTACTTTCTCTTGCAGAGCTAGGTACATAGGTCGTTCTATGCGGGTCTTATCAAAATGTGTTTGAGAACATCATGCAGCATGGCTGCAAAGAGGAGGCACTGGTTCATTCAGAAGCGCCATTACTAAACACCTCGTCAATACCTCTCACAGAATCTCAACTGTCTCATCATCTGGAGTCATTTACAAAGCAAACAAAAATCTATTAAAGGCAGTCAGTGTGTTTCCGACTTCTTTGTACTGCGGAAGCTCTCGCCGAATGCATTAAAAAGCCGGAGCTATGTGTTCAAAATAAACTAGTCCAGCCTTTTCCAACTACCATGAGCCCAGTTCGGTTTGTTGCCTTATCCTTCAGTTTTTTGTTTTGTTCTCTGTGAGTGTAATTTTCTCCCTTTGTCTTCACCCTATTCATAGCAATTTTTTCAGTTATAAAATCGTTTATTTTAAGTTTGTTTCCATGCTCCTCTTGATCACACTTGTAATCCGTTTAGAATAACCGTTATACAGTTGTATTCTAATTCTGGGCAATTTTTTGTCTCTATGCCTCTAATCTATATTCACACCTCATAACTTACACTTCGATTCGTTTCCATGCTCATTTCGTTCACACCTGTAATTCGTTCTATCCTTGTGTCACTAAACCTCTTGTAATTCATATCAAGTTGGAAATAATTATCACCATTTATTCGCCTTTAAAATTATTATTTCTCTAGTTATCAAATATTAATTTTGTATACGTTGTAACTATCTTCATTATATATATATATATATATATATATATATATATATATATATATATATATATATATATATATATACAAGTGACTTACTCCCATAGATCCTTAAATTTTGAATCTCTGAATAAGTGGAGTAAAGTGATATCGCTTTTATTGATGCAAACATGTAGCAAACATGAATATGTTATTTGAAAAGATTTAAGTGCCAAAAGATCATCAATAACAAAACATCTAATGGATTACGGACATCATATCGACGCTGTCAAGTCATTCATTATTGTCAGTAGACGAATAAAGAAGAAGATGCTTGCAGCTGCAGAGGCTTGTTCCATTCGAGTTTATAAACCAGGTCTCTGTGTACAAAAGGAGATAGTCGTCACTCTGAATCTACCATGGTAACACGTTTTACTTATTATTCTTTACTTATTATTATTATTCTACATTTTATTATTATCATCATTATTATTATTCTTGATTCATTTAAAACTATCCTTTATCGGTAGGATTGTCTTATATCTCCCAATGTGATTTCAAAAGTGTATATATATTCGTGTATGTAGAGTATTCAGCTGATAGGTATTTTTACCAAAATTTGAAGAACTCATTATATCATCCTGCTTTATTAACCTTTATTTCAATAAGGCCCTGAGTTCGAACTCCACGATGTAGGGTGCGTACTGATGAACAGTGTGAAACTAGGCTGGCAAAACAGCTCTCCAGTACTGCCAGTTGGTTTTTCCAACGATGCTCTAACTGATGACAAGTCGTGATGAAATCCTCCAGCCCAACAAACAAAATACTTACAAAAATCAATACTTGATGGATGAAATGAAGTTGAGCACCATGGTAGAATTTATTTACGAAAAATTCTCACGTGAACATAGTTCTTTTCAGGGAATTCATTATCCTCTTTAGCTGTACAGTCACTGTTAAGTACGATATCACCAAGAAAGATGGCAGTAACATGATCACAAAAGTGATAAGTTATCAAAAGCACAGTTGTCAATATTACTGAGGGGATGTAAACAGTTGAATAAGCATGTTCGAGTTACATAAAAAGATAAGTAGTTCAGTGAATGAGTTGTGATCAGGATGCACATAGAAACCAAAGAAAATGTGGTATTGCTTATGAGTTCGAAACAGCAAAGCTCAAGTTGGTAGAAAATAAAGATGAGATTGTTAACGTCATTTAATAATTTTCTTTTGTGTGCAGAACTCCAGTTGCTTTAACTAAATGGATAAATTGTCAGCAATGCAAAGAAGGTTGATAAACTCGAGCTACAAATTATTATCGGTAATCTTTTCTTTAACTCCTAAAGGAACATGGGGCTTCAGTCGCATGTCTCCACTGCGTTCGATTCTTTGCTAAAGTTTTTATCGCCTGGCTCCACATATGACTTCATGTTTTCATCTCCTTTTTACATAACCTCCTCAAAGCCACCCTCAGTCGACCAACTCGTCAACTCGACTTTTGCTACTGCCCTATTTCTTGAAAAACGTGTACTGTTGAAAGGGGAAAATGAAGTTGACAGGAAAAGATCCTTGTTGCCGAAATACTTGTCTTGTTTTTACCAATGCACTATTCGTGTGATTAGATCCGATGAATCTATCGTTACACAATCATAAAGCGTTAGAATAAAAGCGTCTACTTTGAAGCGTCATGCAATTTATCTTAACTTTGATCTCCCATACTCTCTCTCTCCTTCCCCTTATCTATTTGAACATGACCTGGAAAACATTCGCACCTGTCTTTCTGCATGATTAATTCAATGTAGTCTGCTTACTTATCAGTCTTATATCTCCCAGTGTAATTTCAAAAGTGTATATTTATCCGTGTATGCAGAGTATTCAGCTGATGAGTATTTTTACAGAAATTTGATGAATTCATTAAATCCTGCTTTATTAACCTTTATTGCTTGTTTTATATACGTCTTTGGAGCCTAACAGTCATACATAGACATTTACACTTGTTAATTGCATATCGTAGCATAACTATACACTATCATGAGTGATGTTCATATTAGCGGGTACATTTATGCATCGCACAATGTTGAATTAGACTATTCATGCAAACATAATTCTATATGTAGTCAGATAAAGTTGAGAAAAAAAGTCAATTATCTAAAAAATTTCACGTACGCTTCTCGGCCAAATCTGAGACCTGAAAGATTTTCCAAGATGACGAAAAAACAGAAATTAGGATCTTTGTTTAGCTCCGTGTCGTTCTATTCCAATATACGTATATATATATATATATATATATATATATATATATATATGATGTCAAGTTTCTGTAGAACTCTTGTAACTTATTCAGAATACTGTTCAATGGAGCACAGACAATTTGTTCTAACAGTACAACTGAGCTTTAAATAATAACTCTGAAGGATATTTTATCTAAAAATGGATATCTGGAGAAGTTTACCAATAAATACTCTAGAGAAATGAGCCCATGTGAAACTATCCAAACAGTTCCGAAGAAATATGTATATATATATATATATATATCAATCGAAGACTCAATAAAGCTATCAAGTGAACTTAAAATGCTGCCAGAGTGATTTGTGTTCCTTAACACCACCATGCAAGTGTTTTCACAATCTAGGAAAGACCAGTCGCCAATCTTCGACATTTCAAACTGCGTACATCAGCTTGATTGTGTTTTTGGAATGACGGCTGTCTACTCGTATGATAGGGCATTTGCCAAAGTGGTTCAAAACGGCTTAAGTCAAAATGCCAAGAAGTTTAATGAAAAGCATTTTGTAGACTACAGACAGGTTATCCACGCTGCCAAGTCATTCGCTGTTGTCAGCAGACAAACAAACAGGAAGATGCTTCCGATTACGGAAGGTTTTTTTGCTGTTCGGGATAATAAATTCAGATCTCGGTGTACAAAAGGAAATGTTATTCACACTGATTCTGCCATTAACTGTTATTATTACTATTATTAACACTTTATTATGCGTCTTACGATCACTATTTCTGATCTACTTGTCATTACCATTATCTTAAATCTTTTCAACATTATTATTACTTTTATATTATTCCTTTAAGTTCCCAGAGGAATATAAGGCTTTAAGTCAGATCTTTGAAGTTTCGTTAGCAGTAGTGTCACACTGGATGTCATTTATAGCCTCATGCTTAACCTCCCCTCTTTACAGTTCATATTATCACAATAGCGAGGTTTAGGAGTACATCATCCGTACATCATCAGTCGAACGCCAAACCACAGGCACGGTTGACCAAAACTAAATCACAAAGTTCAAAATTCTTGATATCTTTTTGGTCTTACATGTCTCAATGGAATTCTAATAGTACACAAGGATATATATATATTCCTTCATGCAGAGTACCAGATGAAGAGTCCCCCAAGAGTCGATGAATTCATTAAATTCTGCTTTATTAACTTTCTCTGCCTTATTTTAAATTCATATCGGGAAATAAATGTTTCACATAACATGTCTGTGATAAGGAATACGTAACATGTAATGTATTCACACTTTCACACGATATTTAAGCGGTGACGTCCTATAGATCAGGTGATATTGTGCCACGATAGGACATAATTTGTTCAAATCCTATCGTAATCCAACTCATTGTCACCTCAAATAGCTGCATCAAAAGGTAATGAGGATTCTAGTTAGGAACTTATTTAATAGTTCCACAAGCACTCTAGGTGATCATATCACCATTACACGAATCTGTAAGTTATATTTGTGGAACTTTCGGTAACGCTACATCGGAGCATAAGAACGTTTCCCATGGCAATCTCACCCAGAATTATTTAATTAAGTTATCAAAACTAAAGTTATGAAGACGGATGATATATACATATACATATGTTACATTGTTGCGACAACTTACTCGAAGGTGTAACAGGCCGAAGCAATAAGTATGCTAGTAGCAGAACGCTGATAATCCACATGTACTTCATTGTGCTGCCTTACTAATTTAGAATTATTTTTAACGGGATTGCTTTATATATATATATATATGTGCAGTCTCGTCGAATCTTGACGTAGTCAGATGATTCAAATGCATATATACGTCATGTAATTATATAAATTTGTGTGCTGTTTTGTTACCTTTCAGGATGCATTTTACACGTGTGTGTGCGTGGTTAATTTGATCGACATTGAGCATATAATTTATAGTTACTTTTGCTCTCTGTAAAATTAAACTTAGAATTAAATTACAAATCTTTTGTGTGTTGTGAAGTTGCTTTTTTTTCGTAGAATGATGAAACATTCCGTTTGTTTGGATCTGTGTGTGTGTGCGTATTAGCAGTGTAACGCGCATATTCGAATCAATACTTACTTACTTTTATATAGAAGAAGGGAGAGAGAGGTAGGGGTGATCACTTTTCAAACTAGCTAGATACCTCTTGGTCTAGATAGTGGTTAGTAAGTAGTTTTCTGTGCGTGTGTGCTACGGTTGCTACACTTTATTTGTAATAGCCAACCAGACTTCCACTGTTTGAATCGCGACGAATTTCTCAATATTTGATTGGCGATTGCAAATACCAACAGGCTTTACCTGCCTGATCCCACTAAAACGGAGAAACTTGAAAACATATTACAAAAGAGGAAAGATCATTTAAGATAAACTTTAGTGTTAGTGTTATAAATGTTTACTCCAGTTACATATTATTATTATTACTGTTCCCTTGGGCTCCTAGTGGAAACTAGGGCTTCAACTGCATGTTTCCACTTGTTTCTGTATCTTGATGTACTTTTCACCTGGATTCATGTTAGTTAGTCCATACTCTTTCAACTCCTCTTCACACGATCTCCTCCATGTGATTCTTGCACTGACGACCACGTCCCACTCGCTGCTTCCCTTTCTGTCGGGTTCCACTTGAGGGCTTGACGCACGATGTCAGCCAGCGGTCTCCTCAGCGAGTGTTCAATCCTTCTCCACTTTCTCCTGCATATTTGTTGGGCGATTGGTTCTTGTTTTGTTTCTTCCCATAGTTTCCGTAGTTGCTGATTCCTTCCGGCCCGGCCATATGATCTTCAGTATAGAGCGAAGGCAGTTGTTAGTTGATAAAGGTCTGCAACAGGCTGTTGGAAATATTCTTTGTGACCCGCCCATCAAGTTTCGGATCCGTATAGAAGAGGTGACTGACTTGGCATTTGTATTGAAAATCCGATTTTTGTGGTTGATGCTGAGTGACGACGATTTCCAGATTGATTTCAGGTTGATGAATGTGTTTCTCGCCTGCCTTCCCGATTCTCGCTCGATTTGACATACTCGTCCGTTCCGACTGAGTTTAGTTGAGACAATGCTTCCTGGCTAGATAAGTGAATATAATAACCTCTTTCAAATCTCTCCAGTGACATGACATAGGCGAATTCAGGAATCCTACATGGCATAAACTGCAATTCAGATTTCTGTAGCTTTTATTAATTAGTATTTTACAGTATAAAGTAAAATTATATTTCAATGGCTTACAGACAATGATAGGTTTATTTTGTTTGGTAATATCTCAAGCAAAATTACTACCCGCGTTCACACCGACTGTTGAAATTGTTTTGTTATTAATTCACTCATTTATGATTCGTACTCATATAAAGACAAACGAGGATGGCTTAATTCCAAACTGGTTGATATAACCAACTAATACCACATATCACCGTCCGAAAAACAAAAATTATGCGTACTGAGGAGCATAGAGCGGCACTAAGGAGACTATGTGAAAATGATGACATCGTCATGTTTAGACCCTAAAAAGGCTCTGAAGTTGTTATAATGAATAAAACTGATTATTATGTACATAAGTTGTTGACAATTCTTAACGACTCCGAAAAAAGTTCAGTTGGACAAAACTAAGACGGATGCAACAACGTCATTCTAAAATAAAGTAAAAAAAATGCCTCAAAAAACTACTCATCAAGAAACTGATTGACAACAAAACTTACAATGAACTGTAGACAAACGGGTGGATGACTCCCATTTATATACGGTCTACCAAAAATCCATCAGGTCAATGTGCCCTTAAGACCTATATTATCAATGATAAACTCACCGTGCCCCAAACTAGCTCGTTGGCTAGTTGATTCAATGAAGGCAATTCCACAGAATTTTTCAAATCATAGCTTGGATGACACATTCCAATTTTCCAAAGAAGTCGATCATGTTGACATATCAAATAAACTAATGGTATCATACGACGTGACTGTCTTATTCCAAAATGTTCCAGTGATGGAAACAATAGATATCATTTGTAAACAAACTGATGTATTGCCATTACCAAAATGGACTATACCATCCTGAGAAGGATGTTGAAGGTAGTTAGTAGGACCAATGGTGTAAGCCTCAGTCAGCTTGTCACTACATTAGTAGAAATGCATCCGAATTCATGCGAAAAATGGTCTAAAACCATACTCCCCAACCCCTATTACACTCTATATTCCCAACTTTCTCCTTGTATTTCATCAGGTAGAACCAGAAATCAGTACACAATAATATAAACTCATACAACCAAGTATAAGAACTCAACGATACCATATTTGGCCAGTGTTCTAAGTGACGGAGACAATGTTAAGCGCGAGACCTATGACTGACGTTTTTGTTAATAACATAATTTTGGCTCTTTTATTTCTCCCTTGTATTCTACAGTAACAACCTCCTTAAACATACTTAGCCACCTAAATTAATAATATTGGCTTACTTTTTTGTGCTTGATTCTATTCCCTCTTTTGTGTATCTACTGATCCCGACTATATTATCACTATGAGTATTACAAAATTCTCCTGTCATTAACCATCATGTAATATTAGTTTTGTGATTATTTTTTTTGTTCGGCACTATTTAACTGACAATCTTGGTTGTGAACGCCGTTATCACCATCCTGAGATTTTTGTATTATGCATGATTCCTCACACTACCACAACAAACACCGCATTAGTGCTGACAATAAAAAACCCTGAAATGTTTATTTTGTGCTTGTTTAGTGTTGTTCAACCAAATCAACTGATCATCATGGCTATAAAGATTCTTAATTACATTTCATAACTTCTTGTATGATTATAGCTGTTACTGTTCACCACACACACACATATCATAGCTCCCACTGCCCAATATTGAGATATTCTTTATTATTGTTGTTTATTTTCCTTTCTACTTGGTATTTTTTTTGCATTTTTTGTTATTTTTGTTTTTTCTAAATATTTATTTTTTGAAATACTCCTTTTAAATGTGCGATGAAATTAGATGCAGTATTGAAGATATGTACTGAAAATTCCATACTGTACCACTAGTACTGTTTCTGGAATCAAGCAAATTATTATTATTATTATTATATATTTAATTGTATTGCACTGGATTAAGCGTAGAACTGTCAAGAGCGATAAGATAGGAAAGAATACGTCGAACCGATAGGAAGATCTCAGGAAGTCTGGATCTCGTGAACTATTTATCTCTAATGTTATGCAAACTCGAAGACCTAAAGGCGAAAATCGTAACTATTTCAGAAGACATTGACAGCAAAAACAGGGCTTAAAATGGACATAGAGAAGATGAAAGTGAGGCACAAAATCAATGATAATCAACACCAACAACCAGCAACAGTCGATATTAACGGAATACATTTGAAAGAGAGGTTACTTCCTTGCCTATTTAGCCAGAACAAATGAGGATGTTAATGCCAACCAGAAATGGAAAGGCAAGATCAACCTTCATCACCATGAATTTGGTTTGGACATCTTCTCCAATCAGCATGAAGAACAAAATTCTGATTTTCAACAACAATTTAAAGTCAGTCAGTTCTTCCATACGGATCAATAATTTGTCTTGCCACTAAATGAGTTCCAAACAGGTGCATACTTTTCTGTGTGCTGAAGAACTGACTGTCAGAAAGAATAAGCACAAGAGACTTCGGGAACAAATCAATCACGAAACTCTTGCTCAAAAAAATGGAGCTGAATAGGAAACACCTGATGGCAACCGTCGAATGACACTTCGTGTCCAGCCATCGAGTTAAGTTCGAACGGATATTGGCGTACTGAATGTCACTTTGAGGAATACACTGAAGAGATCGTATGTGTAGGAGATAAGAGCTTATTGGCAATCTTGAAACTTAGGACTGTTACGTAATTTATAAGCAATAGAACATGAATGTCTTTCATGTTCATTCTTCTACAATATAATTGTTCAATGAATGTTGAAAAGGATCTGAGACATTGATTTTTTATTCACGTAAGTGATCAGAATCACTGAAGTTATACCACGAGACAGTGTTTCAAAATTGAATTCATCAATTCGGAATATAATAGAACCATGCATAACTTACCATAATTTTTCCAGAGTACTAAAATTTAGAAATATTATTAATCGCTTAGATGTGAAATTAGTATTTACTTAAAATACTTAGCAGAAATGTTGAAAACAAGCATTTTTTCGATGAGCACATTTTTGAGGATATATATTTATATTAAATCTAAACTGGTGAAGCATCACAGCGATCCAATGTCTTCCTTTTTGAGGGAAAAGGCATTGAACTTCATCATGCAGAAATACTGACAGCAAAATATATTTCAGAGTAACCTACCAGGTAAAGTCAAACAATTGCCTGACAAAATCAAAACAAACATAAAACAATCCAGAATTAATTGCATGGGAGATTTTATGATGCGTGATTAATTACAATTAACAAAGACTGTGAGTTAATGTGAAATGTACAACTAACACTTCGAAATGTTACAGTTACCGTTGCAAATTGGGTGAAGAGATGTGATGAAGGCATTTCGACATCTTTTGATCCCGGTTAGTTGATCAGTTTTCTAAAATAATAACTTTTCCGATTTGTTTTAATTGATCTGTCCTGCCGTAGACGCATGCATTTATTTTACCCTATGTTTATTATGCAGAACATAAAACTGATGGAATTTCTATTGATTGAGACTGTTTGATTATTTTGGATGA